TTAGGGAAAAAAGTCCAACACATCACATTGTGGCTGCCCATACACTGATTCAGATCGAATGTCCATATAAAATATTCACTTACTGAGTGCACTGGCCCCGGTGTTTGTTCAGACGCTTCTAATAGAGGTTTATATTCTCAATCCGTTCCCTGCTTTTGTTCAACAGCTGTCTTGAATTTATATCTGAACATGTCTGCCAGTCCACTCTGCTGTATAATCCACTTCATGTCTTTCTGGCAGCCAAATGTAGTTGCTTAATGAGGATCTGAAGACTAGATGGAGGCACAAAACAAGTAAATATTATATCTATGTTTGTATAGCACATGTAACCAATGGCCTTAATGATTCAGATACTGAAGCATTCCCAAAGTTTTACATACAGCTTCTGTAGACTTGTAATTTTAGACTTGTATAGACTGTCATTTTGTGAATTTAAGATTATTGAATCAAAGATGAAAATCATTATAAAGCTGGGATCTTGTTTTAAAACATTTTTGGAGCACCTCTTTTTGTCTTGACCTCTTTCTACACATTTTCGTGTATACCAGTTTGGTTTGTTTATGCCATTTTCACTTGCACTCTGATCTCTCTCAAAAAGCACCACTTGTTATTAAAAAATGTCCTCTGTTGTGTCATGAGCATATACCTCTGTCTTTGTAACTTTCTGTTATGAGAGATTGTATTATATAGTGATGAATAAATGTTTTGAAGCATCATGGTTTGGTTATTCAATTTGTGGGGTATTGTTTTATATTTATTTTTGTGGAGTTTTTATTTTTATATAGCGTCAATGATAGTTTATTTGTATTTTTTATAATCGACAGTAAAAACATCAGGAATGAGATATCTATCTTGACAGGAATGGATCATTAGATTAAGCAGAACTTGTGAGAAGTCACATGGGATTTTTTTTTCCAATTACCAGTTTGACCTAGATGACCTCGGCTGAACTAACGTTAGGTGTAGATAGATAACTGGAGCGTTTGCTTTTGCTGTGTTTGCCAAATGTTACATCAATGATTCAGCTTGACAACCAGGATCTACCCAGACTCCATAATATGACACCCATCATGCTTAGCTGCACATGAGATTCCCAACAAAGCCACTGAACAAAACACTGGGGTTACATTTCTCTTTTACATGCTGAGTGTGTCAGTCATATAAGCACAATACAGTAATATGGACAGTGTGTACCTTCCTTGAGTTTACCACAGGAAACAGTGACAGAAAACATTGTGTGTGCAGTCGATTCAATATTACATACAGCACTGATAGACTGATGGATCTCTGTAGTGAAAAGATAATGTTTCACTCCAGCCCAAGTGTTGCCATGACAACACACTGAGGTCTTTGTGTGTAAACATTCACATCTATTCAGTTGCCAAGGTTGAAATTATGGGCAACACTTAAATAAATACACATTTAATAATACAAATAAATACTCATTTCTTAAAATTAGTTAATAATACATGAACTAACAACGAGTAATATTTTTTTGAAAAATATTTTTGAAAAATTAAGTTTCCCCAATCTTCTCAAAACTCTGGATTCTGATAGAGGGCAGTGAGACAGTCCTGAGTGCAAAAATGGAGGCTCTAGACCCTTCCAGAGCTGAGATATCGAAACTCAAAATTTCGACCCGAAAAAAAAAACGACAGTGGTACCCCTTACGTTTTTTTTGGGGTGGGCGAAAAATTAAGTTTCCCCAATCTTCTCAAAACTCTGGATTCTGATTGAGGGCAATGAGACTTGATAGAGGGCAATGAGACTACAACAGCAGTTGTAATCTATCTTGAAGTAATATCATGTATGCATGTTGCCAAGTCAATGGACAGATGATTGATTAAATAATTAATGTAGTAAATACATAATTAGTAAACATCATACATAATGACTTGAACACATCTCTTCTGCGATGAACATGTTTTCACACATTCATTGAAGTGAAAAGAACTTGAAACAATTTTTTTGTGAAACATTGTTGGTATTTGAAATCAACCCAAACAAACACGCCCTCCCTTCATTGCTTACACACAATGTCTCTTTACTGTATATTTATCATAGCTGAAGCGAAGCAAAATAATTCTTCCTAAAAAATAATGCTTTTCGTGAAATAAAGCAGATGACAAATGAATGACGAGGAAGAACAAAAATTGTAAATACGGTGCACACAATAAAAACGTAGGACTTTTCTAATATTAAGCTGTTGCCTGATCATAACCCTTCTTTTTCCAGTGATATTTCTCTGACCTTTTCTCTCTTGTAATGTCTCTCAGCCATCTCTCTTTCTACAGTCTTTCTTCAAATCTATGGAATTAATTTTGAGCCAATAAAAATGAACGTAACTTTTCAAGAAACGAATGAAAATATAAATTGAAACTGAATAAAATATCTTTGAAACTGAAAAAGAATGAACCGCAAGCAATTTTTTTGACTTTGTTTTTAATACACTACATGTTTTGCTAACTATTCCTCATATTTCGTTTACTGATCTACACTTACAAATGCGCTTCCAGAGTTTTCATTTACGCTTCTGAAGTTTTCGTTTACACTCCCTGAGTTTGCGTTCGCTGTTCTGACACAAATCTCTCGTGGGGGCGGGGCTAGTAGAAGTGTATTCTCATTGGCTACTGAGCTTTTGATTGACAGCTTCTTGACCTGGAAGTGAAGACGTCAGAGTTGTGTTTACACGTGTGGATGTGAGCGTCTGTAAGCGCAGCTTTCTATTTAATTTTAGTAATATTAAGTTATGTTTGTTTTTTAATTTTATCTGTATTTACCTTCTGCTGCGATTACTTTGTCAACAGAATCTTTTAGGTTCACAAGAGATCAGTCTATTCAGGTGTAATTGTACATCAAAGTAGGCCCACTGTATATGACTACTTAAAATATTTTGTCCAATGTTTTAGGAGAATATTTGTTTATTCTTGATGATTCGTTTGCATGTTAGGCTCTGAATAGGTTGTGCTATTACAATATAAAGAGAATAGCCTACTAGTATACGTGTGTGATATATTCAGCAGTCAAGAAAGTTTCACTTCAACCAGGTAATCAAGGTTGGCAACCATGGCCATCAAATTTCTCATTGTTACCATATGCATTTACACCATCAAATGATCATGTATGATCACTTAAATAAGAGGAATTTAAACTATATGAAAATTACAATCGTGGGTTGCTGTCAGATGATACAGACCTTAAAGGGCATTTCATTACATATTTCACACAAAGAATATTTTTGTTGGTATTTTTTTAATCATGCTGATAATTTTATTTATTTCATTTTGTTAATATTATTTTCTAACATTTAAAATGGTAAATATATTTGAACAATCATCAACAGGTTCAATTATGACTTATAAAATCAGTTAAATGAATTTAAATAAAAAAATCTAATAAATTTATTCATTCTTTATTGTCACTACAGCATATACACAAGTACCAAAGTGAAAGTCTTGGATGCAGTTATGACAGGAAAGACCAGAATCCACAAAACATTAACTGCATACTATACATGCACTGTAAAAAAATATATGCCTCTCCAACATAAAAATTTCTAGTGACCCGTTGCACCTAAAATTTTTAGTTGGCCCAATTTAAGTTGCGGAAACCAACTTTTTTGTGTTGTGCTGACTACCCCTGCATGTCGACCTAACTTGAAATAGAATGTTGTCAATTAAATATTTTCTGTTGACTAAACAGCTTGTTGGGCCAATGAACAGACTCAAATTGAAATAAAATGTTGTATTAATTAAATATTTCATGTTGGCCAAAAAGTCTATTTTTCATTAATGTTGGTCAAAAAAAGTCTCTTTTTCATTATTTCAAATAAATAACACACTAGGCTCTGATAGAGTACATTTTATGCATTTATTAAAATACAAAAGACTTGCCTGTTAGTCTCAAGTAAAATATTACACAAGTATTCAAATAGTGCCGAAACAAGATCTGAGAGTTCAAGAAAGCATGGCATATAACTTAGTCAATAGCTGTACAACAAATATCTGCTTTACTCAGTAAAACATGACAGTGGCTTTGCCTGTAAACATATGACATTTTTAGTCTGTTAGTCTAAGACTAAGGGCAATTACTGTACATTACATGGAAAAAATAAAATATAAAGTACTGCCCACTACTTTCAGGTTACATATGTCACTATGTACATTAAAACAGTTCTATTGGCAAAATAAATCTCTACTTTAAAAAATTAAACATTCTAATATTTCTCAGGGATGAATGCTTTGTAGGGATGGGCAACGATTAATCGCATCCAAAAAAAGTTTGTGTTTACATAATATGTGTGTAGTATGTATAATTAACTTGTATATATAAATACCCATGTATGTATATATTTAAGAAAAAAATGTTATTAATATATCAAATATAATATTAATTATGTATAACTACAAAGTATATACATGCTATTTCTTAAATATACATGCATGTGTGTGTATTTATATATACAAATTAATTATACACACTACATACACATATTAAGTAAACACAAACTTTTATTTTGGATGCGAATAATCACGATTAACCATTGCCCATCCCTACTGCTTTACAAATCAAATATCAATTTATTTGATCAACAAGTTCCAGAGCAGCAGTTTAAGATAATCTTCTGGACTGCCTCAAATGTGTACCTTAAGTCCTTACTCCATTTTACAGCATAAAGCAGACCAAAGAGCATCACAAGGGCATTTGTGAAGTCTTCCAAATTGTCCATGACAACTTCCTCCTCCAGTACTACAGCCACATTGACCACTGTGGAATATGGTCCTGAGTTGGTAGAACTGTCAGTCACTTCCAGGATCCCCATTTTCATGGCCTTTGTGTGTGGCCCCAGTGCCTCAGTATTCTGTGAAACACAATAAATGACACTAAGTGTCAGACTGAAAGCATAATGTCTTATGCAATCATTACTGCATCTCAAAGAGTAATACCATAAAGATATTCAAATTACCTTAATAGTCTTTGAAATTGAAGCTGGCTCTCTTATGTACAGGGGAAGACCACGAAGAACAGCAGACCCATAAGTGGTTAGATCTGTGGTCTGCCAAAAAGACAGGTCATCAATAAGACATTTTAACCCATTTAATCCCAAATTTTGCAAAAAACACAAAAATATCCAAATCAAGTATCTTTAATGTGCGTGTGGGGTGTGCTTGCGTGCAGGGTTGTGTGGTGTGTGTGGGTGTGTGATGTGTGTGTGCAGGGTTGTGGGGTGTGTGTGTGCGCGCGTGTGGGGTGAGTGTGGGTGTGTGATGTGTGCGTGTGGGGTGTGCGTGCGTGCGTGCAGGGTTGTGGGGTGTGCGTTGTGTGGTGAGCATGATTTGAGTGTGGGGTTTGTGGTGTGCGGGTGTGTGATATGCGTGCGTGGTGTACATTGTGGGGTGTGTGGTGTGCACGTGATGTGAGTGTGTGGGGTGCGTGCGGGGTGTGTTGCGGTGTGCGTGATTTGAGTGTGTTGGGTGCGTGATGTGTCTGGGGTGTGTGTCTGAGTGGGCTGAGTCTATTTTAGGATGTGCTCTCCATAAATGTTTTTTTAAGGGCCCTGTTGTTGTAAAAATACAAACACAGTCTGGATGAATGCAAGGAAAATAACCTTTACCTGCTTGCCAATGATGAAGCATTGCATATGTGCACTGCAGATGTGAAAATGTACAAAAGCAGCACTGCATTTAGCTTTAAGTCTGAAAAAAAAAAAAAAAAAAAATATTAGTCTTTGAAATTGAAGTTGGCTCTCTCAAGTACAGGGGAAGACCACGAAGAACAGCAAACCTATAAATAGTTAGATCTGTGGTCTGCCAAAAATACAGGTCATCAATAAGACATTATTAACCCATTTAATCCCATTTTTTCCAAAAAAAACACAAAAATATCCAAATCATGTGTCATTAGTGTGTGTGTGCGCATGTGTTGTAAAAATACAAACACAGTCTGGATGAATGCAGGGAAAAGAACATTTACCTACTTGCCAATGATGAAGCCTGTAGCCTGTGTCTTGCTGCAGATGTGAAAATGTACAATAGCGACACTGCATTTAGCTTTAAGTCTGAACAAATACCTGAAAAACAAATAAATAACGTTACAAATGCATAAATAACACATAGTTCTATACACAGAACAACCTTCAGTATGTATTAGAGTTTTCTAAAAAGTACTTGTGCAAAGTACTAGCTGCTAACACGATGGCACACGCGCTTTGAATGGAAACTAACTCAGAGCTAGCCTAAATGATCAGTCACTCTGTGATAGCAAAAGCACTAAGTTAGTTGTCAAGACTAGCTGTCTGTTGCAGTCAATTATCACACATATATAAAGAATGCAACTGGAATTTAAAAATATTGAACATTTAAAATATTAAACAGGAACATAGGGTTGCCACCTATGTCTGATAAAAAACCAGGACATATCGACAACCCGCCCACCGGGAATTACATGCGTTTCTAACATGTCGAGTGCGAGGTCTCCCCCTCTGAGTCATTCCACGAAACCGGTACGATTTGAGTCCCTCTGACCTTTTTAAGTGTATTTTACCTATTGGGTCACCAAAATCTATTATTAAAAGCTTTTTGTGTCAGTTGAAATGTCTCCTTTAATAGAGTTTAAAAAGAATGACAAACATTTTTTCTTTATATTAGAAATTATCTTGTTTTTTCAGTTGACACCACCTATTTTGTCATGTCCCTCATGGCCTTCTATGAAAGTGTACTTGGAATATGAATAAGAAAATTAGAAAAAAAGTCCATACATTTTGCTATTCCCATGAATATCTATATGTGCTTTTTTGTTGGTAACATTTAAAAAAAAAAAAAATTCATGATTAATCATTAAAATCACATTATTTAGTTCCGTACCTCAGTAATCCCTCAACCCCGTTACACACATCATTCTCCCCCCCATAAAAATAATGAACAGATCCTAATGTAACATCAACAACAGGAAGTAACATCACAGAAGTCTTCTGAACAACATTGTGTGCAGACACAGGCAAGTTACCAACTACTTTTAGAACTATATCTTATTTAGAATTGTGATATTGTGGTTGTCAAGCTCAACGGCTCAACCCCGTTACATCAAATAAAGATAGAATTCTATTACTTGTGAAAATGATATTTGTTATTTCAAAAGCATACATGATTTCTTAATATCATGCATTCCATTTGCTCTCCTGTTATTCACTACATATAGAGCAGTGGCCATTTTTAGCAAAAAATCACAACCCCGTCACACTCAACCCCGTTACTTCTTTGCCATGAAGCATGCGCACAATTAAAAAAAACCCACACAAACACCCACACATACATCAAAAAAGCACACAAGTTATAGGTTTTATTTTGATGACCTATTCAGTCATTTTATAATGTTCTAATGTATACTACGTTATTGTTGTTTTTCCTGCAGTCGGGTTAATAAAACTGAGTTGCAATTGCAATTTATATCTGTTGTTTTTCTTGGTAACCTAATAAAATAAAGTGCTTATAGAAAATATTACAGTGAATTTGACTAAAAAAAACAACTACTCATATGTTAAGCTGTATTTGTCTCTTCAACCCCGTTACCATCTTCAACCCTGTTACCCTAGTCTCAACCCCGTCACACCCACATTTTTATGAATTTTTTTTTACGTTTATGAAAAAGTAAATTATTGTTTGTTGAACTCAGTCTGAAATGTTCAGAGCAATCATAAGAATACTGAATACATAAGAATACTTCAAATTCTGAAGTTAAGCCACATCTTTGATCAAAAATGATGAGGTTGCTGTCACAAAAAGTGCCCATTTCAGGCTTTAGTATAGCATAAGTGTGAAATGATGTGTACATTTTACATTTGCAATAATTGAATTAGAGTGAGGGACATCTGACTAATAGGAAAATGTTGATTTCATTACAAATATATTTTATAATTATATTCAGAGAGCTTCCATATTGTCCATAACGGGGTTGAAGACTAATAGCGCTCATGTCTTAAAATAATTACCAATAATAAAAAGTATTTAATGCCTGAGGTGGGAAAATATGTTTTTCTGGAAGTTAAATATGTCATCAATGTTGTGGGGTGTTCAGAAAAGTAATACATGTTGGTAAAAAATCCAAAAATGTGTAAGTCCAAATCGTACCGGTTTCGTGGAATGACTCCTCTGTGCCGTGCACGCGGCCGCGCGCTACACAGTTTGAACGTAGCCTTTCGGTTTCGGAAACGAACGAGTGCTTAAATTTCCCGAGGCAAGTTATTAAAAAGAAGGACAAATGACAATCCTGGTAAAACCGGCACAGGTGGCAACCCATGCGATGCTTAACCGTGTGGTTCAACGTTAAAACCGCATGCCAGTTGGAAAGGAATGCTAATCACTTAACGTTACTCACAAGATATATTCTTAACCTAAATTTGCTAATTACCTCGCAACACAAATAAAGAAAATTCACTCACCAATTCAATGTCGTGACTCGTGGCGGGGGAAATTCAAAAGCCTGGTAGAACTCCTTTGCGCATGCTCAGACGATTGACGCTGTTCCCTCTTGCTCGGCCAACATAATATTTTTTGTGCAATGTTAAAAATTCTGTGAACACCGTTATTTATTTTCTCCTGATGAACATTTTGTAGTACAGTCATGGAAATCATGTAATCATTGACCAAACATATTTTTCTTTTTTGACACAACCATTATGTTGATCCAACATGTATATCCTCATTTGTACAACTATTTGCATCGATCATTTTTTACAGTGTGTAATGCACAGTATTCTCATAATATAGATAATAAAATGTATAATCACAAAGATTTTTAATGAAATAATACATCTCTGTGAGTCCACATAACACAAGTGGATTGTACCCATGTATGGCAGTTGGTCGGAAATGATTTTTAATAGTTAAAACAGTTTACATTATTAGTATTTATTTTTTTTTATTCTATTGTTTCACTTCAGTATTGATTCATCCACTGAGGTCACATGGACATCACGGTCACTGTGTGTGGTTTTTAAAGCATCTTTAGGGCTTGCAGAGATGGATTACTTTCCTTAAAATCTTAATTCGTATTTATCTGTAGAAAGAAAGTAAAATGCATCTGGGACAGCATGAGGGTGAGTAAAATAAGTGACAATTTTATTTTTGGATGAACTATTCCATTCATATGCTGTTGGTATGCTAATCCATGATCAGCAGAGACTAATAAGAATAAACTGCAACCTCTTGTGTACTGTGTTTGTTTTAATCTAGAGCTCCAAAGAAATTAAAATATTTGCTATTTTATAATATTAAAATAAAATACAACAGGTGTCTGAAGATAAGGATCCCAGTCATTCAAAGGTGATATGTCTGAACAAAGTAACATTATTGTCTGATGGAGACAGCTGATCTCTGGTATTATCACTCCATCCTCTGTGTCAGCATCAGAATTTTGTTTGTGGAAAAGTTGCTCAAATCCCTGGAAAATGAGAAAGGAAAAATATTATAATCTAACAATACAAACTGCTTTGAACTCCCACATGCAGTAACCATTTGCAGACTTAAAATAATTATTTCAAACTAATTATATAAATGTTTTAAGGGATTTTACAGTACTAAATGTTTACCTGACACACACCATTTATCATCTGTAATACTATTGTATAACCAGTAGATGGCTCTATAGCCCAATAAACATTTATCCATGGCTGTGTAGCGTCTACTCCCTAGTTGCTGGATTTTTTCAGTCATAATTACTTGCATGTATTAGGTTTTGAATTTGGATATATATATACAGTGCCCTCCACAATTATTGGCACCCCTGTTTAAGATGTGGTCGAGGACTTTTAAAAATTCTCCCTTTTTTTTAAACAACATAGAATCCAAATGCAAAAAAAGAGAAAAATCCAACCTTTTATTTAAGTACATTACTTTGGTGGTAAAAAAAAATGTAAAAATTTAGAAAAATAAAAACTTCAAATCCTGTGTCCCACAATTATTGGCACCCCTAACAATTCCGCTGAAAAATGTAATTGATTTTTTTTTAAAAAAAAAATAATAATTTCTGTAGTTGCTAATGTTGGTCAGGATATCTAGGAACTTTTAATTAGTAATTCATGACTTCCTATTTCCCTGGGGTATAAATATGACATGACACAGAGGCCTAATTCTCTTACCCATTTGTCAACATGGCAAAGACAAGAGAACACACCATTCAAGTAAGGCAGATGTGTGATGACCTTTATAAGTCAGGCAATGGCTACAAGAAAATAGCCACTCACCTTATCTTGCCCGTATCTAAAGTTAGAGGAATCATTAAGAAGTTTAAAACAACAGGAACAGTGACAAACAAGGCTGAAAGAGGTCCCAAGTTTATCTTGCCACAACGCACTGTGAGGAGGATGCTAAGAGAAGTAAAAAAAAGTCCTAAGCTCACTGTCACAGAATTGCATCAAATAGTGGCCTCTTGGGGTCACAAAATCTCCAAAACAACCATCAGACGCTCTCTACATGCCAACAAGATGTTTGGGAGGCATGCTAGGAAAAAGCCTTTTCTCACTAACACTGACAAACGTAAACGTCTGGAGTTTGCCAAGCGGCACTGGGACTTCATCTGGGATCGTGTGCTTTGGTCGGATGAGACTAAGATTGAGCTTTTTGGCAACAAACACTCTAAGTGGATCTGGTGTAAAACAAAAGATGAGTATGCCGAAAAGTACCTCATGCCCACCGTGAAGTATTGTGGAGGATCTGTGATGCTGTGGGCCTGTTTCTCTTCCAAAGGCCCTGGGAACCTTGTTAGGGTGCATGGCATTATGAACGCTTTGAACTACCAGGACATTTTAAATAAAAACCTGATGGCCTCTGCCAGAAAGCTGAGGATGGGTCGTCATTGGGTCTTTCAGCAGGATAATGATCCAAAACGTGTGGCAAAATCTACACAAAAATGGTTCAGTCACAAACTCAAGGTCCTCCCATGGCCATCTCAGTCCCCAGACCTCAATCCAATCGAAAACCTGTGGGGTGAGCTAAAGAGGAGAGTGCACAAGAGAGAGCCCAGGATACTGGATGATCTAGAAAGATTTTGCAAAGAAGAATGGTCAAAGATCCCTCTCTCTGTGTTCTTCCATCTTGTGAAATGTTATAGGAGGAGATTAAGTGCTGTCTTGTTGGCAAAAGGGGGTTGTACAAAGTATTAACATCAGGGGTGCCAATAATTGTGGGACACATGATTTGAAGTTTTTATTTTTTTAAATTTTAAATTTTTTTTTTACCACCAAAGTAATGTACTTAAATAAAAGGTTGGATTTTTCTCTTTTTTTGCATTTGGATTCTATGTTGTTTAAAAAAAAGGGAGAATTTTTAAAAGTCCTCGACCACATCTTAAACAGGGGTGCCAATAATTGTGGAGGGCACTGTATATATATATATATATATATATATATATATATATATAAATTATTAAAGACTATTAAAAATTCAACATTTTTCTCCAAAATGTTGTTTTTTTAACATAATTATTACTAAAATATGGATACAGAAAAAGCATTTTGTTGCCTTTTGCAGAATAAATATTGCGCCCAGGGTTATACTTCAAAACAAATGAGTGTTTACATATTATGAATGGAGACGTGGAAAATGGTCAAGTACTCTCTCTCTTCTTTTAAAAACTCTGCATCACAAATTAATCAGCAATTGGCTTTACATTGCCAAAGTTGAACCGGGCAGTGATTGACAGGGCTCTGGTCCAATGGCATCGGTCATTGTCTGATACAGTACATTTTGTACTGTAGGCTACACTACAGATACTGTACAGTACTCTAGCACAATGTTGTTTGGGGTGGCAGAGGGGAAATATGATCTAATTGAAGCAAATATGATCTAATCGAAGACTGTAACCGTATGTAACGTTAGATAAACAAGAATGATTGGGCTAACAACTTACCAATTAAATCAAGACAACACTGCTGTATAATGTTATGGGCTCTCACTGAGCTCTAATATGCCTCTCCACCTGAAAAAGCAAGAACTGTATTATAATTAGTATTAGTTTAGTATTAATTAATAATAAAAAATAAAAACAATCAGACTTACCACGAGTAGCCTATGCTATCCAGTATTCTGATATCGACGATGACAAATTATATCATTTGTCTGTACTATTCCTTCTATAAGAAATCATATCAACAATATAGTGTAGCAGTAAATAAATAAAGAAATAAACTTAATATCACCTAAATGAAATAGAAAGCTACGCTTACAGACGCTCACATCCAAACGTGTAAACACAACACTCACTGACGTCTTCACTTCCAGGTCAAGAAGCTGTCAATCAAAAACTCAGTAGCCAATGAGAATACACTGCTACTAGCCCTGCCCCCATGAGAGATTTGTGTCAGAACAGCGAACGCAAACTCAGGGAGTGTAAACGAAAACTTCAGAAGCGTAAATGAAAACTCTGGAAGCGCATTTGTAAGTGTAGATCAGTAAACGAAATATGAGGAATAGTTAGCAAAACATGTAGTGTATTAAAAACTAGAAAAAAAAGTTTGATGACACAAACTTTAAGTTGGCTTGAGAAAGCCGGACCAGAGCGTTTGAAGAATCTTGAAGTTTGAATTAAGTTGGAAAAAGATGGAATTAGAAAGAAAGAAAGAAAGAAAGAAAGAAAGAAAGAAAGAAAGAAAGATGGATAGATTAGTTAGAAAGATAGATTAGTTAGAAAGATAGATAGATAGATAGATAGATAGATAGATAGATAGATAGATAGATAGATAGATAGATGTTATTGGCAAGAAGCTAGCATGATTAACATGTAACTAGCATCATGCTAGCATGATTAACATGTAGCTAGCATCATGCTAGCATGATTAACATGTAGCTAGCATAATAATAACACGATTAGCATGTTGCTAGCATCATGCTAGCATGTTTTCAGCAAGAAGCTAGCATGATTAGCATGTAGCTAGCATCATGCTAGCATGTTTTTAGCAAGAAGCTAGCATGATTAGCATGTAGCTAGCATCATGCTAGCATGATTAGCATCATGCTAGCATGATTAGCATGTTGCTAGCAAGAAGCTAGCATGTTTTTAGCATCATGCTAACATGATTAGCATGTAGCTAGCATCATGTTAGCATGATTAGCATTATGCTAGCATCATGCTAGCATGTTTTTAACATCATGCTAGCATGATTAGCATGTAGCTAGCATCATGCTAGCATGATTAGCATGTAGCTAGCATCATGCTAGCATGATTAGCATGTAGCTAGCATCATGCTAGCATGATTAGCATGTTGCTAGCATCATGCTAGCATGTTTTTAGCAAGAAGCTAGCATGATTAGCATGTAGCTAACATCATAATAGCATGTTTTTAGCAAGAAGCTAGCATGATTAGCATGTAGCTAGCATCATGCTAGCATGATTAGCATGTAGCTAGCATCATAATAGCATGATTAGCATGTTGCTAGCATCATGCTAGCATGTTTTTAGCAAGAAGCTAACATGATTAGCATGTTGCTAGCATCATGCTAGCATGTTTTTAGCAAGAAGCTAGCATGATTAGCATGTAGCTAGCATCATGCTAGCATGTTTTTAGCAAGAAGCTAGCATGATTAGCATGTTGCTAGCAAGAAGCTAGCATGATTAACATGTAGCTAGCATCATGCTAGCATGATTAGCATGTTGCTAGCATCATGCTAGCATGTTTTTAGCAAGAAGCTAGCATGATTAGCATGTAGCTAGCATCATGCTAGCATGTTTTTAGCAAGAAGCTAGCATGATTAGCATGTAGCTATCATCATGCTAGCATTATTAGCATGTAGCTAGCATCATGCTAGCATGTTTTTAGCAAGAAGCTAGCATGATTAGCATGTAGCTAGCATCATGCTAGCATGATTAACATGTTGCCAGCATCATGCTAGCATGATTAGCATGTTGCTAGCATCATGTTAGCATGTTTTTAGCAAGAAGCTAGCATGATTAGCATGTAGCTAGCATCATGCTAGCATGATTGGCATGTTGCTAGCATCATGCTAGCATGTTTTCGCAAGAAGCTTGCATGATTAGCATGTAGCTAGCATCATGCTAGCATGTTTTTAGCAAGAAGCTAACATGATTAGCATAAAGCAAGAAAGCAAGAAAGAAAGAAAGATGGAATTGTTAGAAAGAAAGAAAGAAAGAAAGAAAGAAAGAAAGATAGAATTGTTAGAAAGAAAGAAAAAGAAAGAAAGAAAGAAAGAAAGAAAGAAAGAAAGAAAGAAAGTGAAAAAAAGAATAGTTAGAAAGAAAGATGGATAGATTTGTTAGAAAGAAAGATGGATAGATTAGTTAGAAAAAAAGATGGATAGATTTGCTAGAAAGAAAGATGGATAGATTTGTTAGAAAGAAAGATGGATAGATTAGTTAGAAAGAAAGATGGATAGATTAGTTAGGTAGAAAGAAAGATGGATAGATTAGGTAGAAAGAAAGATGGATAGATTAGGTAGGAAGAAAGATGGATAGATTTGTTAGAAAGAAAGATGGATAGATTAGTTAGAAAGAAAAATGGATAGATTAGTTAGAAAGAAAGAACGATAGATTAGTTAGAAAGAAAGATGGATAGATTAGTTAGAAAGAAAGATGGATAGATTAGTTAGAAAGAAAGATGGATAGATTTGTTAGAAAGAAAGAACGATAGATTAGTTAGAAAGAAAGATGGATAGATTAGTTAGAAAGAAAGAACGATAGATTAGTTAGAAAGAAAGATGGATAGATTTGTTAGAAAGAAAGATGGATAGATTAGTTAGGTAGAAAGAAAGAACGATAGATTAGTTAGAAAGAAAGATGGATAGATTTGTTAGAAAGAAAGATGGATAGATTTGTTAGAAAGAAAGATTGATAGATTTGTTAGAAAGAAAGATGGATAGATTAGTTAGAAAGAAAGATCGATAGATTAGTTAGAAAAAAAGAATGATAGATTAGTTAGAAAGAAAGATGGATAGATTTGTTAGAAAGAAAGATGGATAGATTAGTTAGAAAGAAAGATAGATAGATTTGTTAGAAAGAAAGATGGATAGATTAGTTAGAAAGAAAGAAAGATTAGGTAGAAAGAAAGAATGATAGATTAGTAGAAAGATGGATAGATTTGTTAAAAAGAAAGAACGATAGATTAGTTAGAAAGAAAGATGGATAGATTAGTTAGAAAGAAAGAACGATAGATTAGTTAGAAAGAAAGATGGATAGATTTGTTAGAAAGAAAGATGAATAGATTTGTTAGAAAGAAAGAAAGATGGATAGATTAGTTAGGTAGAAAGAAAGATGGATAGATTAGTTAGAAAGAAAGATGGATAGATTTGTTAGAAAGAAAGAACGATAGATTAGTTAGAAAGAAAGATGGATAGATTAGTTAGAAAGAAAGAACGATAGATTAGTTAGAAAGAAAGATGGATAGATTTGTTAGAAAGAAAGATGGATAGATTTGTTAGAAAGAAAGAAAGATGGATAGATTAGTTAGAAAGAAAGATGGATAGATTAGTTAGAAAGAAAGATGGATAGATTAGTTAGGTAGAAAGAAAGAACGAAAGATTAGTTAGAAAGAAAGATGGATAGATTTGTTAGAAAGAAAGATGGATAGATTAGTTAGAAAGAAAGAAAGAAAGATTAGGTAGAAGGATAGATAGATAGATAGATAGATAGATAGATAGATAGATAGATAGATAGATAGATAGATAGATAGATAGATCATTAGTACATATAGAATGGTAGTTTAATTGAGTCTAGGGCTTCAGGGAATTTAGATTTGAGTTTTTGTTGTACGCTATTGGGCCACCGTAGTCTTGGCTCATTTTGACCATGCTGCAATGAAAGTCAATGGGATTTTTATGATTTTTAATATTAATTTTTAAGAAATCTGAAAGTCGAATCAGTCTAAAAAGATATAGCAACTCGAGTCAGAACAGTCTGAAGGTCTGACCCGAGTTTGGAGTTTGTAGAGTTAAAGCTCTAGGAGGAGTAGCAGTCAGAATATTTTGGGTAAGAAAAATAAGAAGAAGAATAATAATAAGTTTAAATAGGATTTCAGTAAGTTGGCTTTCTCAAGCCAACTTAACAAAGTCAAAAAAATTGCTTGCGGTTCATTCTTTTTCAGTTTCAGAGATATTTTATTCAGTTTCAATTTATATTTTCATTCGTTTCTTGAAAAGTTACGTTCATTTTTATTGGCTCAAAATTAATTCGATACAAATCTCCCTCTTGCTCACTCTCTCTCCTCCCCCATCATGAGTGTATCGGCCTCCTACTGCTGATTGGATAAAAGTCTGTTGTGGTGTTTGGTTCAATCCACTTTCAACAGCGTTTTTTTTTTTTAGAAATCACTTACTGCACCTTTAATAGACAAGGCTTCATAACAAACAGCATTTCACCTTCGAAAAAAGTGATTTTGACACATCCTTTTCTTCTATTTGCACACAGCGAGGCTCATCATCCACACAGACTAAAGTCATCCTCTCTACTCTCAGCAGACGCTCCTCTAGCAGCTGACTGTCACAGTATCCCTCTCTCTTGAAGCTGACAATGGAGTGCAGCAGTGTATCATTTAACACCACTCTCTGCTCTGTTCCATTGAGCTGTTTGATGGTTACATTGGCCTTGGCTCGGTTTTGAACTCTGTCACACCTGCAGCTTTTTCTGCACTTCTTGCATTTAATAAGGAATTTTGAATTTGAGAGAGAGAGAGTGGCACCGCATGAACAAAAATACTCAAAGTTCAGTAAGACTTCAGTGACAAGCCCTGAGATGCTCGTCTCTTCAGGTTCTTGTAAACTGTCTTCTGAAGGAGTAAATGGCTCCAGTTTTGTAGGTTCGGTGGAACAGAGTACATTTCCTTTGCCAAAGTCACAGATGGAAAGACTTTTAAATATATACCACTGATTGAGGGTTACAGGAAATCTATCTGCTAAACTCAAGGGGACTTTTGCTGTGTTATCATAGAGGGTGTGATGAGAATATTGCATCCCTTCTTCATCAGGTAGGATGTTGTTGATTGCTGGCAGATTCTCCAAGATCTTTCCAATTACAGTAATCTAAAATTAAAATGATATTATTTAGACTTCAAAGAAAAGAAAATCAGCATATTAGAATGATTTCTGAAGGATCATGAGACACTGAAGACTGGAGTAATGATGTTGAAAATTCAGCTTTGCCATCACAAGAATAAATAACATTTTAAAATATTTATCTTAGTTATTTTAAATAGTTTTTACTGTATTGCGTATCAAACGAATGCAGCCTTGGTAATCACAAGAGACCTCTTTCAACAACTTCTTTCAACAAGAATCTTAATATTCCAAACTATTGTAGTGGGTAAAAAGCCAAATGATAAGAAATCAAAATATGCTACTTGTTTACTAACCTCTCTTAGGTGATTTGTGTTCTTTTTCACCTCTGCAAGAGTTAATGTCGGTTGCTCCTGACAATTGAAGGACAAGCGTCTCTGATGATGTAAGCGCTGAGAGCTTTTACATTTTTGAAGAACCCTACAAGAAAAAGTTAAAAGATTGGAATTCATTATTATATATATTTTTTTTTAATTCTTTGCTCATTATTATTGTAATTAAAATGTATAGACTATACAAACTATGAAACTTTTACTGGGCTTTTATTCACTTGTAAACATTTGAAATAAAAGGTTTGTTTTCACGTGTCAAAGCAAGTAATGCAAGCAGTTTAACTTTACTGCAGTAACTAGCTGGTTGTTCTGCATCCTCAATAAACAATTTATAATTAGACCAAATGCAGCTGTTAAGAGTTCTTACTAGGTCAAGAAAATTTGATAATTTAAAACCAGTTTTATCATCTCTACACTGGTTACCTATTAAGTTAATTTCCTGCATTTTCCTGCACACCCGAATGCAATTGACTTTAAGTTACGTACTGTTTAGTGTTCGGTGAAGGAAGATTTTGATATTCATTATATTTCCCCCCATCTGAGTGATTCTAATTCAGAAAGAAAGGAATAAAGGGAGTTATATTTATGCCACTAATATTTTCAAATACAGTTTCATGAGGTGAAGTTTCAAATATGTATTATTAACAATAAAAGTCTTTAAGACATTTCACTTACCTCAGCAAAAGGATAATCATCAGAGGGCTTCTGCAAAACCATTGTAACTAAAGAGGCATAGTATTATTTTCTATAGATATCTTATGATATATGTTTTACAAATCAGCTAGCAAAAAAAAAAAAAAACTTACAGTTTTGATTTATAGTTAAGTCTCCTTTCACACTGGTCTGGCTAATTGTTGGAGCACTGACTGGACTTCCATGATCCGCTGAAGCGGTGACATTCAGACGTGAAGGAGTAGGAGCTAAAATTGTCCTTACATGGTCCCTTGCTGATAGAAATTAGAAACAAAAACAGAAATGACCTGTCAAAAACTGATTGTTAACATAATGATAATGCTGTAGACTTGACCCATGATTGAGTTGTATGTTAAATTAATTTAAGTTGAAAATCAACTAAATGATCCAATTGTGATGGATTTAGAGAGGACTCAGAAGCGAGGGCGACAATCACAGCTCTTTTAATAGCAATGGCAGGATGACCACAGGTAACTTGTAACAGAGGAATAATATTAAACAGCGACAGAAGGCTCCTGTAGAACAGGCAGTCGAACTTGAACAGAAAACTCCCTCTGTGGTTCAGGCAAAGAAGAGCAGAGAGCTGGAACAGTTGGGACCCAGAAACTCACAGGGCCGGGATAGCGAGCATGGAGAAGGAACACAGCCTCAGACTCCTAGCAGGTATGGTTCTGGAAGTATATCGCATGGACACAGAATAACACTCGAAGTAATCAGAGATATGCTTCTAGACAGGACTGGACTTTAGACAGATGCACGCATAGAAACTTACGAACAAACTGACAACAAGACAAGGAAGAGAAGGTAAGAAAAAGCCAAGATAATGAGGGGGGGAACGAGAGACAGGTGGAGAGAGATGAGCCTAATGAAAAGTGATAACAGCTGTCAGTAATGAAAGTGAAAGCGGCAAGTGGGTGAGTGAGTTAACGAATATCCAGCAGGGGGAGACAGAGAACGAGCCAGGATCATGACACCAATGTCTCAAATGACACCTATATTCAACTTACAGTTTTACAGTTCCTTACCAGATTTATTTTGCACTGGACTTGGGCAAGGGGGTTTGTTTTCTGATTCTGGGTCCGCTTCAACAGGAGAGACGTGGAAAAACAAATAGAGGATGGAGACATTATAAACAGCTTGACATTTTAAGAATATGAATTCAATGAAATATTTAATATGCAGTTTGCACACATTTCACATTTCAGTTTTAAAGCCGAAAAAGGTTTATTGTCAATAGCAATGCATAAAGCACCACTCAGTCACACAATAGTCCCTTTCAAACTATAAGCAACAAACAGCTTTCTGTTGGAAAGGTGCAGCAACTTTGTACAAGAAATTCCAGATCACATGGATTCCCATTGAATGACTGAAATTTTGCAGAGCAATTGTAAATGTGGCCACATCTTGATTAGCCTTTAATTGTCATCTAGGAAACCCGCAATAAGAAATAAAAATGAGTTGAGTACTCCAGTGCTTCAGAACAACAGTGCTATGAACAGGTAACTACTCAAGATTAACATGGGATGGCAGCCTGTAGTTTTTGTGCTGTTTAGGTGTTTAAATAAATTGAACTTACCTTTGGACCTTTTATTCAGGCATCTCCTTTTTGCTGATGATTGTTTGGTTTTAGATCTTTTAACAGAATTTCTCTTCATTTTAATCTGATGGACTTTGACTTCAGATCCTCCTCAAAGAGCCTGCTGACTTTATGAGTGAGGAGCAGCGAGTCTACATATTCAGCCAACCCGGTCTCATCCCAAGACGTCATATAACTGACGTTTTGGGACGTCTTTTGTGTTAATTCAGCAGACCTGATAGAGAAAGGAAAATATTACAAAACCCATAATTAATAAATTAACAAAATTAATAAACCTCTATAATAATGTTGTAATGATCTTACGACATTATTATAGGAGTGGAAATCCACTATGATTTTGTGTACGTAACTGGCTAATTAAAAATGACAAATTAGATTAGGCTATACCATATTATACCACATATAACTAAAACAATGTGTAATTCTCAAATGATAGCTAACTGAGCCATTTAAATATTTTGCGCACTGCAGATACATGACGTTTTAGTTAATAATTAGCCAGGTAAGTTAGTATAGTGCCATTTATCGTTGCTGCTATGCACAAAATGGATTGTTTTAAAATAACTTTCTGTTTCCGCTTATTTCTGTTTCCTGTGATAACAAAGTCCGTGCATATTCAAACATTGGGGGAAGAAAGACTTGCAGGGAAAAAAGCAAACTAACTTGTTAGTTAAGCTTTGCAACATTTGTCGATAAGATGATACATTTAATTCTAGCTAAACCTGTTTGTTCATTGTTAGAAAATGTATACTCACGTTTTGCGCAGAATTCACAGCATACGAATGAAACTAAAGCCAATTAATAAATCAAAACAAAACGAGAGCTTTAAAATTCTAGAGAAACCCGCACTCATGCACACACGTGATTCCAACATCCACACCTAGTGCCTCAAAAAACATGCCCTTCATGTCTGGCTGGTTACAAAAAATACTTCAAATGTTTTCGATGTTGCATGTCATATAAATGGACCAACATAATGGCCATGATATGTCACGGAAATGTATATAGATTTACAAATATCAAGTGGTCCAGCCCATAGACATCTGGTCCAGCCCCGAGCCCCTCCCGTCATCCTATCTCTCCCTTGATACAGTTAGATTCAAATCTAGCGCGGGAGGCCGGGAGCCAATCAAAGTCAAACACAATACGGAAAGTATGACGCAAGACGAGCAGGTACAGTAGATTTTTACTTTCGTTTTGATCAATATTCACCTGTAAAAGTATAGTGGTCAATAATGTTGTTGTTTTTTAAAGAAAATTAAAAACTTGGAGCAAGGGCATAACAGAGTGAGGAAATTTACTTTCTCAATTTTTTAAGGTTCTTTTTTTAACCTGGGGCCTGGGAACCTGTGTGTGTGTGCGTGCGTGCGTGCGTGTGTGTGTGTGTGTGTGTGTGTGTGTGGGTGTGTGCGTGCGCGCGTATGTGTGTATCAGTGTGTGTTCACAATCAGTGTGATACTGACAAAACCTGAATTATTTTTTCAGATAAAACCTGACAAAACCTGAATTATCTTGAAAAAGTCAGCCAGAATCACATCTTTTTTGGGTTGACATATTTACAAGCAACAATAATTTGCAACCCAGTTGCTGAACAGCATGGGATTTGAAGATCCAGATCATACAACATTGTTGCTTGTTGTTGTTCATTGTGCAACCTTCGTAAAATGCCAAATGTCCATTGTAAGGTCAATGCCACTCAAATGAACACCACAGAAGACCATTCTCTTAAGTGACATCACTTCCTCCTGCGGCGTGTGCCTGCAGACCGGATGCGAGCAGCCTGACGAATGTTCTTGTATCTTTCTTCCACATCTTGATGGAGAGAGAGGGAGAGAGTCTGATGATGAAGAATAGATAAAGGGGAGGAGGGAGAGGAGGTGCTAGAGCTCTCCAAGGGTCCCATCGCTGCAGCTTCTCAGCTCCTGTCCATCTCTACTACTACTGAAGATCTTTGTTTTTCCTCTCTGTCCTTCAGTCTGTCTAGACTGTTGCTCAGGGTGACGTTCTCCTGCTGCAGAACCCTGATCCTCAATGAGTTTGCCTTCAGCTGCTGCTCCATATCACACATCACATCACCTGTAGCTGTGACACACATAGAGAACCAGTTGTAAGTGGCAGGTAGGGCTGGGAATCACACAACATTTAACAACAGGGGTTGTTTATACAGAATTTCAAAAGGTTTTACATTCTTTCAAGAGAGAAAACATAAATGTGATCTAATAATTGGCCTTAATTATGTATCAAATAACAATATTAAAATGTGGTAACATTTTTTTTTATTCTTTTATTTTTATAAAATACTTCTGACAAATATGCACCTGCATAGGCCTATTAGCACATAGCACAATTGTAAGCTATATGCGTTTAATAATGTAAGCTATTAGTCTTGCAAAGTACATTCACAAATCAGACTACAATTTTGTTACTACTGTTTTGATTCACTAAAAATGGCCGACTCCCTGGAGTCTTTCTTCTGGGAATTGGGGCACAATCATCTATTGGGGCATAGATATCTATATAAAGGCTAGATGTCTTAAGCCCAGAACACCAAGAAGACACCAACGAACTAGCGCTGATGAAAGCCAAATGTGTTGTTGCCTCTCGTCGAGGTAAAAAGCTGCACTTGAACACACCGAGAGAACTACAGGCGACCGTCAGCTAGAATGTGCGTTCTGCGCCTGCGTATAATGAGCCAACTGTCTATTTCTGCAGATATATTAGTCTATATTTGTCGTTCAAAAAGGAAAACCGACGCTGCGGCTGCAGATACACATAATGTAAACAAAGCAGCACGTGCTTACCTTTTTGAATATCAATCCTGCTAAACACTTTCTTTATTCCACTCCACTCATGTTAATATTGAAATATTCACCACGGAACACTCAGGTAAGAAGACGTAACATAAGAACAGCCTTCTATCTTTACCGTTTTGACTTCTTTGCTTGCTATTTTGCTTTTATTCTTGTGCACTGACTCTTTCACTAAGCTGAACAGCCAATCAGAGTTCTCTCTTTCCCCAACGGCCCAACGCCGATTCAACATGTTGAATCGGGCGAAGCAAAGCCGACGAGGACTATTTTCAGCCAACGGCTCGGAACCGTGCGTATCACACCGAGGAAACTTAGTTGGCCGACGCACAAAATCTGCCAGAAGGCCGACCGTCGGCTTGGTGTGTTCCGGGCTTTACGGGCGGAGTCTTTATCGTCATCACCGGCGGCCATCTTGTCACAGGCAGGCTTTCTGGTGGACTCTGTAGTGCTATCTGATGTAAGATGAGTGATCAGCATGAACACAAATACTCTTATCTCATTGAAATCTTGATGGATTTACAAACGGTTTGGTTTCTTACAAATGTTATCAACGTGGCTGCAGTTCGGGTTCCACCCACCCAGATTCAACGGGGTGGTCTGGACTGTAGTCAACCCGACGCAGGGTCGGGTATTGGAACAGGAAGTAAACTCCCTGCTGGCAAGGGGGGCCATAGAGCATATTCCTCCACTAGACAGGGAGTCCGGGTTTTACAGCCGCTACTTTATAGTTCCCAAAAAAGATGGGGGGTTGCGTCCGATCATAGATCTCAGATATCTGAACCGCTCTCTGAGGAGATTCAGGTTCAAGATGCTCACTATTCCCATGATCGTGAGTCAGATCCAATCCGAGGATTGGTTCGTCACGATAGATCTGAAGGACGCATACTTTCATATATCCATCCTTCCATCCCACAGGAAGTTCCTGAGGTTCGCTTTCGGGGGCGAAGCGTACCAATATCGGGTTCTTCCATTCGGCCTAGCTCTCTCTCTCCCAAGCCGTCACTGTCAAGCATCTCCAGAGAGTGCTGGGACTCATGGCAGCAGCGTCCAACATCATTCCATTTGGCCTGCTGCACATGAGGGCCCTCCAGTGGTGGTTAACAACCAAGGGGTTCTCCCCGAGGGGAAACCCGTTCCGCACAATCAGAGTTACGCGCAGATGCCTTCGTTCTCTGGTTATGTGGAAGAAAGCTTGGTTCTTGTCCCAAGGTCCAGTGTTGGGAGCGCCATGTCGCCGGAAAACCGTTTCGACAGACGCTTCCCTCACGGGCTGGGGCGCGGTCATGGACGGCCGCTTCACGACAGGCCTATGGCGGGACCATCATTCCTCCTGGCACATAAACTGCCTGGAAATGTTGGCAGTCTCCCGGGCTCTGAGTCGCTCTGCTCCCGGGAGTTCTGGAAAGGGTCCGTCACGACGGGATCAGTCTACTGTTGGTAGCCCCGTTGTGGCCGGCCCGAGTATGGTTCTCGGACATAATATTGCTCCTAGACGGCCCTCCGTGGGAGATTCCCCTCAGGAGGGACCTGCTGACACAGGCGGGGGGCTCAATATTTCACCCTCGGCCGGAGTTATGGAAACTGTGGGTCTGGCCCCTGAGGGGGCACAGTACCTAGAGGCCGGCCTGTCAGCTGGAGTAGTGGAGACCATACTCAGCTCTAGAGCTCCCTCCACGAGGAAACTGTATGGTTTAAAGTGGAATGTGTTTATTGATTGGTGTAGGAGGCGTGAGGTTGACCCAGTTAACTGCCCAGTGGCTTCAGTGCTGGAGTTCCTCCAAGATCGCTTCTCCTCTGGTCTTACCCCGTCCACGCTCAAGGTGTACGTGGCTGCCATTGCGGCTTTCCACGCTCCGTTGGGTGATGGGTCTCTGGGGAGACACCAATTGATCGTACGTTTCCTCCGTGGAGCTTGGAGGATGAGACCTGCGGCTCGTACCAGGGTTCCCTCTTGGGACCTGGCAGTAGTTCTAGAAGGATTGGCTGAGGCCCCCTTCGAGCCACTGGAGTCGGCTGAGGCCAAGAACCTAACGCTGAAGGTCGCTTTTCTGTTGGCCATCACTTCTCTGAGGAGGGTGGGAGATCTTCAGGCGCTCTCCATATCTAACGAGTGCCTGGAGTTTGCTCCAGGCAACATTAAGGCCATCCTTCACCCTAGGCCTGGCTATCTGCCTAAGGTGCCATCTAATGTGGCACGGCCTACGGTTCTGCAGGCATTTCATCCCCCACCTCACCTGACGGCAGATGAGGAGAGACTTCATAGGCTCTGCCCTGTCAGAGCACTAGGGATATATATTCAGAGGTCCTCTTCATGGCGGAAGGCGGACCAGTTGCTGGTATGTTTCGGGTCGCCCAAAAAGGGGTTTCCGGCCTCAAAACAAACCATCAGCAACTGGATTGTCAATGCGATTTCCACAGCTTATCAGGTGCGCGGTATGCCTTCACCTTTGGCTGTGAGGGCCCATTCCACTAGAGGCATAGCATCCTCTAGGGCCCTTCTCGCAGGGGCCCCCATCCAGGAAGTCTGCGATGCAGCTGGATGGGCTACCCCACATACCTTCATTAGGTTTTACAGCTTAGACATTCCGTCGACACCCGGCTCTCTTGTGCTCGCGTCCTGAGTGTGCCTGTGAGCAGCTTCACACCAGGACAGGCAGGGCGCGTAGTGGCGTAGTGGGTACTCGTACCCCCAAAGTGTCACTTGGACGCAGTTCGAGTTCCCTCGATAGGGAACGTCCTCGGGTTACGACTGTAACCCTTGTTCCCTGAGAAGGGAACGAGAACTGCGTCCAAGTGACACTTTGGGGAACGCCCCTCAGCGTAGCGTCTCTGAAGCATGAATGAAACTAAGCCAATCTCCGATTGGATCAACGTGATGACGTGATGTGTGACGACACATAGGCGGAAGCATATATAAGGAACCGGCACACACAACATGTCAGCTTCTGTGATGAAGCAAGCGCTCCCAGGCAGGGGAAGGCGTGGCCACGAGACGCAGTTCTCGTTCCCTTCTCAGGGAACAAGGGTTACAGTCGTAACCCGAGGACGATTTCTTTATTTATTATGATTTATAAGCTGTTTTCCTCATGAGGACACAAAAAAGTGTCCCCATAAAGTCAAAATGTACTGGGGCATTACTATCCTTGTGGGGACATTTGGCACACACACACACACACACACACGTATTGCTACTATTAAAAATGCTATTAATAATGGAATTAATATACAGGTGAAACTCAAAAAATATTTTGCGAAAGTTAATGTATTTC